GAGGCATACGCCATAGCAGACCAGGAGGCAGAGACGGTCGCGGACGCCTTGGTGGACAGAATGTTTTCCAGGTTTGGAGCAGCTGAAGTGGTTCATAGCGATCAGGGCAGGAATTTTGAGTCAGCCGTGTTCACTGCAATGTGTGAGCGCCTGGGGATGAAGAAGACGCGAACTACACCTCTGCACCCCCAGAGTGACGGGCTGGTTGAGCGTTTTAACAGAACGCTGGCAAAACAACTAGCCATCCTCACTGCAGAACACCAGAGGGATTGGGACATGCACCTCCCTCTCGTCTTACTGGCCTACAGGTCGGCTGTACAGGACTCCACCCGCTGTACACCCGCCCTACTCATGTTGGGACGGGAGCTGCGGTCACCAGCTGAGATGGCTTTCGGTAAACCACCAGATGCACTGGGGGCCCCACCCGGTTCGGAATATGCCAGGAGGCTTCAGGACCGGATGGAGTCAGCTCATGCTTTTGCCCGTGACCAGCTGCAGAAAGCAGGTATAAGACAAAAAAGGAACTATGACATGAGAGCCAGAGGGAAGGACTTTACGGTTGGGGACTTGGTGTGGGTGTATAACCCGAAGAGGAAGAAGGGGCGGTGCCCTAAGTTGGACTGTCACTGGGTGGGTCCTTGTGAAGTATTGGAGAAACTGGGGGAGGTGGTGTACAGGGTCCAGCTGCCGCCTAGGGGGCGGCGAGTGGCTCTCCACAGGGACAGGTTGGCCCCATACCGAGGCAATGCCCGGCCACACCAGTGCTCTGGAGCCTCCCGGAGAAGTGTGTCGACCACACACCCAGATGTGCGGACTGTTCATCCTGGCAGTTCGCCACCCCTGAACCCACCCCCTGCACACCAGCAGGATGTTCCAAGACCGCAGGCGCAGCGGTTTGTGCTCACCCCAAAGCGGCCTCGGAGGCAGACACGGGCCCCGGGTCACCTCAGGGACTTTTTATGTGATCCCTCGGGGCGAGGGACTTTGTGAGGGGGGGGCAGTGTAGTGATCCTTCACTTGGCATGTTATTATGTTCTAAATTGTTATGGTTACTTGATGGGTGTGGAGCTTCAGGGGTTAAGAGGTGTGAGAGCGGGAGGGAGTGAAGTGTGGGGGATTTTGAGCTACAGAGAGTGTTAGCAGGCTGTTTTTCTTTATTATTGTTGTTGAGCTGTTGTTTTGGCGTGGTTACGGCCAACAGTAACCGGTTGTGTAGAATTAATAAAAAAGCGACTATTCGTCGGCACTCAAGGTTGTCTTCCTTGTGTCCTGCGGGACGCTACAATATACTCAGCCTCCCATCGGTTTAGAAAGGCTCTGTTTTCAGAATCAACTTTTCTCTTGGCCATTGTTTGGGGCTAGCTTTAAATTAAAATTAGGATTGTATACACCAACAGACACTTGATTGATCTGATGTAACTGATGTGGAAATGATCGTAGGTAGGCTATCGTTCGGTAAGGCAGCAGTTGAGCTGCATTATGGGATTTGTAGTTTGTGTTATCGGCGCTTCATATCGCCGGGCCATAAAAAAAAGATATAAAAAATGATATCGCGGGCCGGATGTAATGGTACGCCGGGCCAGATGTGGCCCGCGGGCCTTGAGTTTGACATATGTACTCTATAGTAATGTGACGACCGCTGGCTCGGTTGAGAGGAGCTGGTCTGACCCTGTGCTATACTTTACAGTTAACTAGCCAGCGGTGTGCCGGCACCTGGCTCAACAAGGAGGAGAACACCTGGTTTGTCTTTTTGTGGTTTGAACGCAGTATGGAGACAAATGAACATGCTGTCCAAACTGGCACCTTGTGCTCTCTACAAAATAAAGAAAGAATAAACAACACATCTCCCAGAACCCGACCAAGTCCCGCGCCAAAAACCACAAACTGACACAAAGTAATACTGTTGTACACCCACCCTGTTACCCCTCTTATACTCTCCCTACTTGTTCCTCCCCAAACCCCGCATTGGACAGAACAGCGCGGGTATTTCACTGAAACAAACGGTAACCAATACATGCACAGCTGTCAGGGTCGCCACAGTAATAATAATGTCTACACCTTACTTTGTAAAGTGTCCTGAGACAACTTTTGTTGTGATTTGATGCTATACAAATAAATTGAGTTGAATTAAATTGAATTTTTTATAAACTGCTTTTTCCATGTACATTCTTTTCTCCTTGGGTTACTATATTAATCTTCACTATAACCTACAGGCTATTCTGATGTTGTATGGTTGTCCTCTATTGTGTGAACAAATGATTGCTGCTGTGGCCATAATGCACTAAAGTATTAAACTAAAATTGTTTGATTGCTATTTATTATGGCTTTAAAGCTGGATGCATACACTAGTTTACACAGGAAGGGAACCATAAAGGGCTCCTCTGTCTATATCTGGTACCCTGCATTATTAGAACCAGGTTAAACATAAGAGGGTCATGCAAACTAAGTGCAGCCTATAGGCTACAAATTGACAGATGTCTAATGTTGACACCAAACAAAAGATAGTTCAGTAAGGTTATCATAAAGTAGTACATAAATATTATAAAATGATAGGCCCTCTGTTTCATACACTTTATATCCTGCGTTAGGTCTGATAGCATAAACCGTTTTAGACTATTTTGTGCTTCTGGTAATTTACTGCCTACTCTACAATTCCAGTTCAGTTGCGTGTTTTGTTAGTGAGCTGTAGTTGTAGCAACTGCACTGACTGGACTTGCTTGTCTCTGTCCTGGGGATGAGGGCTGGAGGAGCTCTGTGATGGGACTACACCTCCGTTAGCACCAGCACCCTCCTCTTCTTCCATCATGGCTCCCTCCGTAGACAGGCAGGGATACTGGGGGCGGCCGACCTCAACGCTGGACTGGTGTGAAGAAAACTATGTCGTCTCTTTTTACATAGCGGAATTTTGTAAGTAGGATATACCTTCACCGCTAGCACAAAATTTGGACGTGGTTTAAGAAAGGCTTTTGTGTAGGACAGTTGCCCCCGAATAACGTAAAAAAGAAACAGGAGCAGCGGCCATAATCATTTGTGGGTTTATGTTATCGTGGTAGATTGTTTGTTGGCTTGGTGTATGCTGAATGATAGCTCACAGGACACGCAACCAGCTCTCGTTCGAGCTATAACGAGCTAATTGCTTCACATTAACGTTAGTGTATATTGTAAGTCGGCTGTGGGACTTGGTCTTCATTGCTTATCTGCGCATCGTGCATTTCGCATGTGGATAAAACATTTCCTTATTACTGGCAGGCGCCTCGTTGCTTTGTCTAACGATAAAAACTGGCTTCTCTGTAGCCTTCATCTTAGATTTATACATTGTTAGTGGCGGACAGCTCAAAAAGCTGCTGTGTCAGCGGGACATATGGCACAGGCTTTAGCTTTTACTGCCACGCAGCGATAAAGCTACTCTCCCGAGGGCTTCAGCCAAATTACAGTGGATAAACTTTGGACAGAGGATAAACTTTAAAGCTGTTCATTATTGTATAAATGAATTGGGATCATTTGTACTTTGGCGCTCTGTCACATCAGAATCCTACTCTGGCCAGGTGTGTTGAACAGAGGAATGTGACTCCGGTACATGCACTGTTCTTCCGTAAGGCGATGAGTAATCTAGATCACTTCTACAGATAAGTCTTAAACGCTTAGCATGAGGTGAACTTGAAGGCAGGTGTTGGCGCTTTGTTATTCTTCACTCCTCCAGGTTTTCTTAGCTGTTTGCAGAGTTCAAACATGCCGTGACGCATTTACGTTTTACACAATATCATTACTATATTTAGCCAATTTCTTGAACAATCGCGTTGTCTATAAAATGCCACAATATCCAAATGTCTTAATCTAAGAGGAAGACGGCAAAAAGGCTGTTACAGGTATTTGATTGTATGTTTGTATATATTGGGGGACCCAACCCATACTACCTCCCCTGTACTTTATTTTTACTGATTGTCTAATAAGAATGTTATTAGTATTAGGGAGGTTGCTGACAGGTGTTTTTTTGTAACATCAGAATCAGCTTTCTTGACCAGGTGCGAGGAATTTGACTCTGGTACAGTGGCTCTCAGTGTGTATGTGCAATGTTCTTCCATAAAGCAACAAGTAGACAAGTAAACAAGATAAGACTGAGAGAACATACTGTATATACATATGTGCTTGATATATACAAAAGTGGGTTTACAGGTATTGCACTGAGGGTTGTTCTGTTATACAGTCAGGGGTTAAGTGTTAGCTTGATATTGAATCTGTGTTACTCTATATTAGTCTAATGTGCAAAATTCACATAGCCTACCCTACACAATCACTATAGAGCAATTGTAGAATTACAGACACTATCTTAGGAATGCAATTTCACAGTTTGTTGAAAAATTTGAATCCACTATTTATTGCTGACATGTTGCTCAGGATACTGATTCATATAGTTCAAGATGAACTCAAGCCAAGTGGGTGTAGCCAGATTACTACTTTTTCCTTGTCCATGCTATCGGGCCTTGGAAGTGTTATAAACATCTGTTTATTGTCCTAAAATGTCTTAAGTACTACTCTAAACTGCTAGATGTGGAGTACATGTTGTAGGCCTGCTGTAGTAAATCATGTCACTGAAACATTTATAAACTTTGCCACTTGAGTGAATGCAGCATATCTATCAGTTAAAGCTTTTGCTTGCATAAATTATGTGATCATCTAGCTATATGGTTCAGCCCCAGAACAGTTTGGCATTTAAAAGGTGATTCAGGTTACAGGGGTTGGAATGTGGCATTGTTTGTGGAAAAGAGATACCATTTTGCTTTTGTGCATTTTGAAAACATTGCCCCCATGTAACAGAAGGTAGATACAGGGCGGGGAAGTGGGGCATGTGGGTGTTTACAGAGAGTCTCTCAAACATGGGACAGGTGTCTCTTCACATTTAAATGTTTGCATTTGTCATTGAAATGTGAAAACAAAACCTGCAGGCTGCAGTATTCCTGGCTTGTGTGCATGTATTATCAGTAACTACAGTCTACACATTTTAAAACGGTCACTCTGAGGACTCACCTTTGCATTTATCAGACATTTGCTGATGAAAATGTTGAAGGTCAAGTGTTTATTTGTCATATGCACATTTAGGAAACACGTTTCCCTGTACAATGAAACTCTTACTTTGCCGTCCACATGAATGCCACAAAATACAAGTGAAATATAAAGTAGATGAGCAATAACACAAATCTAAATAGGCTGGAAAATCACAACTCTAAGGCACTTTAAAGCAGCAAGTGAAGGAAGCAAATAATACAACAAGAACACAATATAATGCAGAGAGAATATGTGCTATGTGGGAGCTGTGGAGTGTAAATACTCAGCAGTGAGCAAAATGGGCAAAATGATTATGTAAACAGTACAGATGGAATTACATGAGGTAGATCCTGAGTCAGCTGTTTAGGAGTCTGGTGGCAGAGGGAAAGAAAGAGTTTTTCAGTCTAGAGGTCCTGTCTTTCACATTTCTGAGCCTCTGACTGGAGGGTAGGGGTATAAACAGTCTGTGCTGGGGGTGGGTGGGGTCCTTGAGAATGGAGGCAGCTTTCCTACGCACCCTGCGGTGGTAAATGCTCTGCAGAGAGGGCAGTGGAGTCCTGGTGATCTTCTCCACAGTCTTTACCACTCTCTGCAGGTGCTTGCGATCCATAGCAGTAGTGCTGCTGTACCAAACGGTGATGCAGCTGGTCAAGATGCTCTCAATGATGCAGCTGTAGAAGTTGCAAAGGATCCTAGGTGACATGCCAAACCTCCTCAGCCTCATCAGGAAGTACAGCTGTCGTTGGGCCTTCTTGACCAGCTGTGTGGTGTTAAGTGTCCAAGTGATGTCCTCACTGATGAGGACGCCCAGGTATTTGAAGCTGCTCACCCTCTCCACCTTGAGCCCCCAGATGAACAGTGGCCGATGAGTTCTCCTCTCCTTCCTCATGTCCACTATCATCTCCTTCATCTTGTCAGTATTGAGGCTGATATTATTGTCCTTGCATCATGACACCAGACCGGCCACCTCCCTCCTGTAGGCTGCTTCGTCCCTTCCAGTGATGCGACCTATCACTGCGGTGTTGTCCGTGAACTTCAGGATGATGTTGTCTTTGTGGGAGGCGACACAGTCGTGGGTGAACAGGGTGTAGAGGATGGGACTGAGGACACATCC